GAGGAGCAGCCCCTCCAGGGCTGACAGGCCCAGGCTGGCACTTGTGGAAAATGAGCTCTTAACTTCTCCGGGCCTTGTTGCAGAAGCAGAAGGGCAGCGCTTCAGCCCCAGAGGGCTCTGGGAGCTTGTCTTTACAGGGCGTGTGTTTCTAATGTAGTTCTGGGGCGGCAAGCTCCAGGCTGTTAATTTGCTCACATCCTCAAGGGTCGTTATGAAGAGAGACCTGCAGTCCCGAGCTGGACCGCCTGTTCAGGCTGGGCGATGTTACCTGCTATCTGGAACTCGCTGCTTTGGGACAGCTCCAAGATAAGCCTCTGGAAATACCAGCGCCTGAAATATGTTCTCCAGGTGCCTCACAGCGGGCCGGGTCTGCTTCCAGAGCTGCTCTGCCTGGTCAGGGAGGATGTTCAGAGCATCAGGACCCTGTAGGTTGCTGCACGGAGCTTCGTTGGCAGAAAATGAGGTGGCTTATTCTGCGGCGCTGGCCGCCAGCGTGTCCCGGGGATCCTGGCTCTTTCCCGGCACTCACAAATGCCACTGCTGATCCTCTGACACATCTGACTGCCTGGAGCGTGTTTCTAATCCCTTGTCCCGGGGGGAGCGGGGCTGCCGGCCCGTTCCTCACCCCGCAGCCTGCCTGGGCAGTCTGGAGTCGCTGGGTGGGTTTCCCTGTCGGGGGCAGAATGGCAGGTGTGACAAGTGTGATGCTGCATCCCGGTCCCCAGCGGCTTGAATCCAAGCTGCAGCTCATCCCTGTGCAGGTGTAATTAGAGCCGTAAGCATCATATCTTGAATTGCTCTGTTCATTAGCATCTGTCATGCACTACTTTTTGCTAATTGCATTATCTTTATGGTAAGCTAATTGTTAGCAGCAAATTTGTTTAACTAAACATGTTCTTTAAGGATACATGTTTCGTATCCTTAAACGTTCTGTTTAGAGACTCGTTGGTCTGCTCGCACTCCTCCGTGCAGATCTTGGGCAGGTTCTGTTGGTTCTCTGGATGTCAGGGATCCAGCTGCTTTATCCGACATGGTTTTGAGTAACTTATTACCATGTTTGCACCAAGAAAGTAATTAGAGGCCCTATTCTGGGGGTCCATAGTATGGCTTTGCCTGAGGAAGATTGTCCCTGTTTGCTCCAACAAGTCCTGTTGTTGTCTTTATTATTCTGCCAGTAGAAAAGTCTTTGTAGGATAAATACTGTCATCTGTTCTGTTGTGGAATTTGCTGTGAAGTCGTGGGTACAGCCAGTGCTCGGGCGGTGGTGAAGGTTCCAGAAGTGTATTTTCCCGGCCTTTCTCCAGGCGAGCGATCCCGTTTGAGCAGGGTCAGCCTGGTGAGGCAGGCTGGCTGGCGTAATGCACAGCCCGCCAGAGAAAATACCGTGTGATTTTCACTTTAAAAACTCTACTGTGGCGATTATATTAGCACCACCGAGCCCTCAGAGTTTCTCTCTGTCCCTAGGTTTCACATTCCCCCCTGCCCTGGTGCCAATCAGTTTAGTTCTTGCTCATCTCTTCTGCCCCGTTCCTGCCTAGATCTCAGCCCTGCTCCTGCCTTCCCAACCCTCCTTTCCACCCCTCACCTCACTGCACCATCCGAGGCCTTTCTCCCCCTCTTCCCGGGTGCCGGCAGAGGGAGCGCAGGCAGCACGGCGGAGCGCTCTGCCTGTCCTGTGCCTGCAGCACCCAGCCCTGCGCCCTGAGGTCCGTCCTGCCCCGGGGCGCAGCTTGGGGCTGGGCCGGGCAGTCCCGCTGGCAAAGCTCCCTCATCAAACAAGGTGCTGATGTTTTTAACATGGACAAGCAGCACGTTGTTAACCTTCCCCTTGCATTTTTAGAAACAGCTGTGCTATTTTGTTGAAACATCTCAAATAAATTCAGTCTAGAGCGGGTATCTGTCAAAGAAAACCGTCCAAACACATGGTTTAACGAGGTTACAGACAGCTGTAAGGAGGGTGCCTAATGGATGGTGTCGGCTCACGCTAGCTACGATTGACAGTACTTGCAGAGCCAGTAATTAAGAGCACGTTCTCTGTGGCTCCCTGGTGACATCCACGTGTGTGTCCAGCCTGGCTGCTGGAGTAGCAGCGTGCACAGGAGTGACGGAACGGGGCTGAAGTGAGCATTGAGGGAGGCGTGTCAGGGCTGTGCACGCGTGGTGAAACCCGGCTTCCTAGCTACTAATTGTTCAGCCTGTTGGCTAATTTCAGTCTTCTTTCACAGAGAGAGATATTTCAAAAATAATTATGTTTCTAAAAATTTAATAAAATTTGTTCTTGGGGGAACAGAAGAGCCAGCTTTGAAAGTAACCGAGAATGTGCGAGCTGATTTTTAGAGTCATTGTGGCAAATTGCCTGCCACTGCCCAGGTACTTGGCTGGGGTGAAGAAGGACAATCGTATAGGTGCCTGCAGAGATGGTCAATGATGAACTCAGTAACTCAGTTAGCAATCCAGCCAGCAAGCGCATGCGCGGTAGGAAGCCAGACTTCCCATGCTTGCAGAATTCCTCGTTTTCCACCTGCGTTTTTGTTGTTGTTGATTAACGCTGATGAAATACCTCTTTTTCTCACGTCAGGATTGTTCTGTCCTCCTCCACAGGTCTCCTCAAAGATCCTGGCTCAGATGCTTGGATGACGGTTTTAAGTTCCTTGGACTGTAAATATTCTTTTGAGCCTCAGGCAATTCCCTGCAGCATAACCTGGAGGAGAAACGTGCCAAGCACTCTGTCCACTCCAGTGAGTCCTTCTCATCTTCTCTGTACACGTAAGCTGGCAACTGATGTGCTGTGAGGAGAAAGCTTTGACTTGCCTCTCTAGGTCGGGCATTGGAGTCATCAGCCTCAGAAATGCTGATTACTGGTGACCAGTTAGCTTGGGGAACGGAGCTGGGTGTGATTCTCACGCAGATTATTCCAAAGCCGATGTCTTTTAAACATCTACATCTCCTTGTTTTAGGCAGGCACGCATCTAGGCTGAGCCCGGGGAACCTGTAGTGAGCAAGAATGAGACCGCTGCAAGTCATTGATACAGAGGTTTTGCTTGGGTACTCAGCAGCATTTCCAGCCCATGGCATGCTGCCGTGGGCAACAGCTGCACATCGGGAAGAGGCTGGGCAAATTTGCTGCAGGGCCCCTCGTTTGGAAAGCCCAGTGATTGCTTCTTGAACCCCGCTCACTGGGAACCTGAAAGGGCAGGTACCTTCTGGTACGGTTCCTCTTTCAGTTTGGTTTCGGAAGGTTCTGTGTCAAACGGTATCTGCGTGGCAGTGGAGGCCGAGGTAGGCTGTTCTCGTGCTCTCCCCCCCTACAGGAATTTCAGGCGGAGGCAGAACTCTATTTTTGCTGGATAAAACATTGCAGATACTGTGGTCGTATAATAGACTACAGATAATGTAGGTGCAGATAACATGGTTATCTAACAGTGTGTGCAGTGCAGACAAAGCCATTTTGCGTCCTTTCGTCTTAGCAATTTCTGCAGTCGTCACTGCCTTCCTCGCCAGGCTGTTTTCATACCTTCAGTGCTCTGCTTGTTCGGGGAGGGTTTTTACCTTTCAGTTCAGCCACGGTCTTTCACCAGCGTAGTACTGACGTAGCCTTGCGAGTGTTGGTGCCTTTTACAGTGTGGGCTCTGCACAGGTGGAGACTTGCTGTCTGCTTTCATGCTGGACCCCTACTTGTGCTGGAAATGATTTCATCTTCTTTAGGATGTCCCTGCGGTGAAGACTGAAGAGGAGAAAGAGGTGTTGGTGTTGGTAGAGCCGGAAGATTTTCTTAAGCGCCTCTTTTCCCTAACCCAGGTGATACAGATCTCTGAGCCAGACCTACACAAAGTGCTCTATAGCAGAGTCACTTTGCCAGGTGAAGTCAGAAGGGGAGGGAGGGTTCATTCAAAACTGCCCTTGCTTCTCCCTGAAACAAAGCTGTGTTACAGAGGGCGGTGATTTGAAAGGAGAGACCTTGTGGGAGAAGCCCTGTCTGAGT